CCTATGAAAGTAACTTGGCAACCTGTTTGCACGTATTTCTCCTCATCTTCCTTCCGATCAAAGGTCTGTCAATGATCTCTAATTTTTTTTTGTAGAACTTATTTCCTGCCTTTAACAAAGTTAACATAAGCTTTCTCATAGCTTTCACTCTGCTACTGATACATTTGTTTATGTAGATAAGATAAACCACTGGTTTACAATATAGCCTGGAATGCATCTTAGTTTATATTAGACACAGACATTTCCATTCTTTGTTAACAATCGTCGCAAGACTTCTCTCAAGTTTTCAATAATATGCACATCTTTTCTTCATATGACATATGTGTGTGTTATACATGTAATTTCTAAAAATTGTATTTTTCTCTACTTGAAACATTTGAAAGTTTCAGAAAATGCCTCAAAATGCTGCAAATGCTTCAAAACCAAAGCTGAGCCAGCCAAAAAGATGCTACCAACAGGACCCAACAAGGAGTCACAAATCAATGTCAAGAAACATAGCAAAAGGCAAAGAGGAGAGTACACATACATACAGAGATGAGACCAGTGTTGTCTGTAGGCATCCAGAGCTACAACTGCTGGGTGAGGTACCAGGAACCAGAAGAAGAGAAGTTTTGTATATTCGTAGGAGTGGCAAATACACTGATCACCAGCATGTCCAATTGAAAAAAAATCCAACAAAATGCCTGAAGTTGGAGTGAAGACTCCAAGGGAAGAATTCTGTCTGGCCAATAAGCTACGAAGTTCATGACAGGCTGTCAGATAAACCTGATGCGAGTGGGCCTAAAACAGAAAGTCTAACATGTGGAAGCAAAGGTCCCTGATGATTGATATGGGAATCAATCATACAATTGTTGGAGAGGATCGTAACCAAGTAATCCCAGAAGGCAAGGGAGGAAATAGGAACATGCCCAATGAGTGACCAAGTGTTTCAGAACATTGATGTGGAAGGTATGCTCCACAAGAGACCAAATCCCCAAGGCTACAGGGTCATCCAGAGATGTGCCCCAACTTTTAAGAGATGGAAATCCATATGAAGGAGGAAGTGAAATGCCAATCATAGTGTTAACACAATCTAGCCACTAAGACAGATCCTCAAGAGAGAAGGTGGCAGGATCACAAGAGAAGACAGAGGATTGCGAGATGTTTTCTATTGGTCAGTCAAAGTCCACTGAAGAAACTTCATGTGAGCCCAGCCTAGGGGGACAAGATGTTATAAAAATGTGAGAGTCCCCAAAAGAAATAGAACATCTCACACAAGAAGTATAGGAGAAGCAAGAGTCAAGATTAATAGAAGCTCCATGTCCCTCAGACAAATGTGAAAAGGCTCAGCCCAACTGAGTTAAGAATTGAAAATAATTCCAAAGTGAACCAAGTATTGAGTTGGAGTTAGGAATGACTCGAAAAACTTGATCAGCTAACCCTGATTAGCCACCTCTTGGAGGAGAAGTGACATGACTAAGTTAAAGACATAAGAAGCTAAAGCAGTGCCAAAGGGGAGAGCTCAAAACTGGTACACCCGATCCTGGTGAACGAAACAAAGGAAACGACAGCCAAAATATGGAGAAAGGTGTCCAAGTTGTCAACCTTGGTCATCCATAGTCCAGGGGAAAACCCAATGGAGAGGGAGAAACCCTTGCATCTCGAACCAAGGAACCAGATAGTGATTGTGAGAGGAAAGGTTAATGACAGGATGCCAGTCCCTGATCTTTTTTAAGACAAAAAGCAAGAATAAAACCCTGGAGAGGGTTAAAGGACACTCTCAATGTCTCTCTTGCCTAAAAAGTTCAATACTGTAACCTTGAGATGCAAAAGACAGTAAGAATTAGGAGGAGGAAAATGAACAGGAAAAAGAGGACTGAGGCAAGAAGTCATGAGAAAGACTACGTGTAAGAACCTGAATGGCCCACTGGTTGGCTGTAAAAGAGGTCCATAGGTCTGCAAACAGAAACAGACTTGCCCCTACAGGGCCTGTGCTGAATGGGTACAAAGGGAGGGAGTCAGTGACAGGATGTGCAATGGTCAACCCCACAGGAGGAAGGATAGCAATAAATAGCAGAGGAACAAAAACCAGAAGGTAAGAGAGGTAGAGGGTTCATGGGGTCAAGGAATGGGAGTGTACTCATGAGGTTGTGAGAGACACAAAACCTAGGAGGAAAGGGAAGACTAGTGACAGGAAGCCTTGGCCCAAGTCTCCAAGATGTTAGGAATACTCCTGAAAATTTCAGGGCAAAGAACAGGAGCCAGATGGGAAAGGAGAATAGTAGAGAGAAGAGCATCATGACAACACAAATCTCACAAAACTGATTAAGCCTAAACTTAAAAAACACAAGTCCATCAAAGACAGTGCCGAGAATAAGTGCTTATGGGGATCTTCTATGCATGGAGGATATGTTGCCCTCCTACTAGTGAAGGGATGTTGTCACATGATGATTACATCATGCACTAGCTCAATTCATATTATAACACATGTCTTACAAGGGAAGTTTCTCAAGGCTAATGGCATGCACAAAATCTCAAAGACAGACACATGAAGAATGAGCAGAGAGGTAAGTCTATCATTTCAGAATTCAAGTTCTTTCAACTTAATCAGTCAGGATCATGACTCATAATCAACTAATCAAAATTAGGGCCTCTGATTATTACTATTTTTGATTATTCCAACAATCTAAGTAATCAAAATATTGTCATTAAGATTGTTGTTAAGCATAATGCTACACAATGGGCTATTTGTGCTCTGCCCAACAAACATATCAAAACCTGTTTTTGTGGGATTCTTTTTCTAACCACATGTGAAAGTAGTCAATCAGTTGAATGTAAATGATTGAGCTTGTAGATTAATTGATTAGCAAATTTCACTAACTGCCCAGCTCAAGAGCTTATAAAGTCAGGTTAACTACTGATGACAAAGCAGTGTGTAATCCTGAAAAAGTATCTTTAAAATGTTCTTTATCAAATATGTAAGACATGATAAAAATTTAATATCTGATTTTAACTTTTAATGAATAGTTTTATTACATATATAAGTAGGCCTTCAGTTAGTTGTTGACCCATATAAGCTTTTGACTCTGAAAGTGCTAGTTTTCATATTAGTGTCTAACTTCATAAAGGCATTCCTTGCATTAAGTCACAAAAATACTTATTCTGATATCATTGAGGGCAAACATTTTCCTCCAATATTTACAATTGAAACTAGCCTCTGATTTATGTTTTCTGTTAAAATCACCACTTCATCACTATAAACATATACTGAACATCTGAACCTCACTCCAAATAGGCTTCTGTTGTTCTTTCACAATTTGAATATAAGTTGCATAACCAAATGATAGTTAAATCTGCGAGTCATGAGCATTAATTTCTATACTACATCCTTAACTCCCTGGAAATGAAGATATGTAATTATTTTCCTTCTGCAAAAAATATTTTTCAAAACACTGACTAAAAACAGTAAAGAACTAAGGCTCTGCTTCTTGGTTAAATAAATAGAAAAAAAATTGATGAACAGATCCAGAACCTAAATTTTGGGTTATTTATGTTATTTACAGTTGTCTTATGAATTAGTATACCTTGAAAAAGACATAAAAATAACAAGGCTAGGCTTTTTATAGTGGTAAAATGTATATTATGTGTATGGTGGTTTTAATTGTATTTTACGCGGCATAGTGAACCTATATTTATATACGATTTGAAAAATATGTAGTACTGATGCTACTAATTTATTCTTCTTAATTTCACACCTTGCCCAGTGTTACTAATGAGAGATGGTAATCTACAAAAGTGGTATAATTCAGTTACGAATGGTGAATCAAATTGTAGATTGGGCTTCATATTTATTTTAAGTGTTTTAAACAGCTTGTTCGGTGAATAATTTGGAAGAATAAATCTGTAATGTCAATGCTAGATATTCTTCAAGTCCTATATAAATGTAGGTTCATTATAGTGAGTAAGAGACAACTAAAAACACCACACATATAATACACTCCATCACTATAAAAAGCCCTTTCTTCTTATTTGAATTTGCTCTTCTTACTAATGAGAGGTTAAATTCTTGATGGTGGTATAACTCAGTGACAAGTGGTGAATCAAGTAACTATGAAATCTTGGAATGGATTTTGAGTGGGACTCACAAGAGGTCAGAGATAAGAATCACTCTTCACCCATTCTCTTTCATACTACTGTGTGATGCACATAATAATGATTTATGTTTATAGATTTACAATAGATTGGGCTTCATATGATGACCATTATAATTATTACAGATCATACAGTGATATTTTTCTTTAAGACTAATAGTACTTGAAATATAACATAAATATTGGATTTCACTTAAGTTAATATATGTAAAATGCCTGATGTTATATTTAAATCTTAACATCAATGAAACTAGTTTAGTTTTCTATGCATTAATTTATATGGGGTTTTATAGAACATAGAAAAAGCATAAAAACTTAATTTCTAATATTGTTATCAATATCATACAGGTTACTAAAATTAAAAGAGTAACACGCTACCTCAAAGTTCAAGTACTTGTCAGTAGCAATCATATTTATTTACTAACTTGCTTAGTACTAACCATTTAATCAAATACTTTTCCCATGAAATTACTTAATATTATATAATAATAATAGCAATAACGTATTCAAGTTCTTGAAACAGCATATTGCGAGAAAAATATAATAATATAATTATATTATTAATATATATTTTCTGTTCAATGTTCGTTTCATTTCTATAAAACATTAAAAGTGACACATGATCACGCACACTAAGTATTAACGTATATTAAAATTACACAATCATCCAGTTAATGTAATATCCACAACATGTCGAAGTAAAAGTATAAACTATAATACAATGCAATCACTAAGTAAACAAGTAAATTAATGTTTCACGTGACTAAGCAAATTTCAGTTTCAGAATGAATATAATAACGGCGGAAGCAAATAAGTAATTAAGGACACATCAAGAGCATATAATACTACATAAAGTTTCACATGTCTTACCATTTTCCAATAACCTTTTCTATTTCAAGCTACGAATTCTCGATCAGAATTAAAGCGTACAACATAACAAGCATAGCGCCTGATCTCTAGCACAGACGCCATTTTAATGACCTTCGTATCTACGAAGATTGTTGAAATTGACGCTTGGTTGCGCTAGATGAACGAGACAAATAGGGTCGCTAAATTTTAAATATCTACCACATATTGGAACATGACACATTCTATGAGCTTGTGAAGATTCCATGTGTATTGTATGTTAAAATTTGGACACATTGATGTTATTGTACATCTAGATCTGTAGATTAAAAAATCCATCTTACCATTTCTCTTTCATATTTTATATAAAATTATTAAGATGGCGCCTAAATATATACACTTTTATTTTGTTGGTTCAAGTATATAGTCATAAGTTTTTAAGGTGAAATAATTAATTTATTTATATTCAAAATTCATTAAATTATTTTTAAGATTGAAACTCAAACTGGATACTAAAATGAATGGCACATATCATATAAATATGAGGATTTGCATGTTGAGTTTATTTAATATATTGATATTGGCTGTGACTTTGACATAAATCAGTGGTTCAAATACAAACGAATAGGTATAAAGTGTGTTTTATCTTAACTTACATTTTTGAGAATCTTGTATGTAATGCAATGTATATCGCTAAACTTGTGCTGTACAAATATGATATACATGTATTTAGTATTTTACTGTCCCTCAATGGATTAACTGTAAGTTAAGGACTTTCAAGGTTAAAATTCGGAGCTCGTTTCCCCGTGTGAACACAGCATAGATAATTTATTGTGTAGCACAGATAACATAATATGGGTCGAGTGTGTCCTAGTCGTTAACGTGCTTTTATATTATACTGAAAAACACTATTATATTGTTTGTCTGTTTTTGCTATTATCATCTCCAAGGGAATAACACAGTTACAGAGCAAGCAACAGACCAAACACTGCTACGTTTAGGCAATCATCCAGTAGCAGAAAATATAATTATTCAGTAAACTATCACGGAAGTCCGAAAATAGATTCTGTTGTGGTGGAATTTCATTTACGAAGATAATACTTTAAACAAAATCTTCAAAATGTAACCATCTGTCAGAAGGTGAACTTTAAAAAAGTATAGAAGACTGGCACTTCATGTAAGGACACTAAGTATGTATGTAGTATCCCTCTCCCCATGAAGCACAGAAACCTTACAAGTTAGGTTTTATTTGTCTGTTCCTGGTGTTATGAGTAATTGAATCACTAAATCATGAAATTCGGTAGCACCTAAATTGGGACCATCTTATAATCCGAAACCATATATGGCTGGAGAGTTCAATGGAAACTGGTTCGACAGAGTGAAAAGATATCTTAAAGAAATGATTGAAAACTACAATGACGACAGAGAAGAACAGAGTGTACTAGTCCTCCCGATTAGCGTAAGCCAATACACTGTGTAAAGAGTCATCCAAACTCTCAGACATGCTAAATAATATTCGAAGGAAAGCCCAAATGAGAGCAATGAATAAATGCCTTATATAACCTTGACTGGTGCAACACGCTAATTGATAGGTTATTACTTTTTGGCTCTTCGTGTTCTTCTTAGATGGGTCAAACTTTCACCAGTTCTCATAACCTTGACGCTCATTGGTTTGTAGAATAACTGGGGGACGTGTGATTCGTTATGTTTACATACAGCTGTCAAGCACGAAACATTAGGAGCCAGAGCATTAGTCCTTGCGTTCATTTAGAGTCGTCTAGATAATGTGGGTTACATATCCGTTCTTTGGGGCACCGTCCTAGTTCCATGTAATCAAGTAATCCTTAAACACACATCATATTCTACAATAAAATGAAGATGCATGTTGTACCCCTAAACTACTATAGATTGGAAGAAGCGGAAAGGAGTACAGTTGCTACTCACGATATTGATATTAACATTTTAAAACTCTTGTGGGAATAATTAGATGGGAAACTTTGATTCAAACGAATAAAACTACTAAATTCTTATGAATATGTGTACTAGGTTACAACTGAAAATCTATTATATGTTATGCTAAGTCAAATGTAAGTTCTACGAGATATATATCCCTCCTGTGGCTCAGTTGTAAGTCTGAAGGCTTATAGCACTAAAAACTGGGTTTTGATACCCATTGTATAGCTTTGTGCTTAACAACAAACAAGCAAAAATCTACGAGATGCAGAAGCAACACCTACCAGATACCGAATTCATTGGGTGGTTTTTATTTTATTTTGAACGTTGTTTATGTACCAAACTTATGGTGTTTGAGTTGTTATAACAGGGGTCTATTCAGCAAATACTAATTACATGAGATTTTCCTCGTGGTATGAAAATATGATAAACTATATCCTACAGTAATATAATATATAATCACATCTTTATTCCGGTATTAGTATTTTTTTTTTTATTTCAGGCACCTGTATTTAGTTAAGAGTCTTAAAGCCAACAGGGTGTGTGTGGTAGGTTCAGGTAAAACTGAGTAAACATTAGAGAATTGGGATAGGTCTGCTTAATAACAGTAGGCATAAAAAGATATCATGAACACGATAATGTTTCATAATAAGGATCGCCCAGGAATTTAAAAAAATTATAATAGTACATGCTGGCAAAAAACATCTTAGAAAGCAGACTTGTTCTTGAAACAACACTCAAGACCTTCTATCTCAGTGCTTAAGGCTGCTAAAACATTGAAAATAGCAAAAAAAAACAAGTTGATTTTCTGATTGTTAGACTAAATTCAAGGTACATCCATTTGTTCTTCACATTATTGTTAACATTCACATTATTCTTGTTTCAAAAGCCTACAGAAAAACGGCTATAATATTTTATTCAAACCTGAGTAAACCTATTAAAAACAACTCCTGTGCAGATCATAGAACTATTTTTATTTTGATTCTTAAAAGAGAAGCAGAGATTTTATCAGTTTTTTTCGTCACTACTGGCCAAATTTCTCTTTAAAGCCATTCAAGCACCGAAGCCTACATTAAAAACGGCTAGATATGTTGTGCCAAAATATATGCACAGCTACTAAACAAATGCCTGCAGATATTTTAAGGCTATTGTTAAGTTGATTCTTGAAAGCCGAAATTTCCACTTTATAAAATTTTCTAATTTCTTCTTCGCTTCCATCCTAAGCTCTTTGTAGCCATTCAAGCATCATAGAAATGTAGAAGCCATTTAAGCACCGTTATACAAGTCGGAAACGCTTTGTTTTATTAGAGTAAACAAAGTGTATATTTTATAAGTGTATCCGGCCTTATTATTATTGATTATAGTTTTACAGGCCGCTACAGAAAAAAACGACTACGAATATTTTACTGAATTTTGAAGAATAGTAATGAATGCAGTATTGAGTATTGTCATAGGGTAGTTTTAAAATTAACACAAGAACCTTCGTTTTTCGCCTTGAAAAATTTCTCTAAGTCCTTCACTTTCCACCATTGAAAAATTCCAGTGCTTTACTAATGCGCATTAATTGGAAAACAAGCTGTGCAACTTATAGCACAACTGCCACGTTGAGGATTCATTATTTCTCGAGTTCGCTGTTGTACTTTGTCTCTACATGTTTTTCTGCGACTGTTTCAGTGAGTTTTCTAACCGTAGACGATTACTATAGTATATTTCTCTACTCTTGTGAGTGGTGGTTTATCCTACTGATTTTTATAAAAAGTTTAGAAAATACTGTTGCGTATATTATCCCTGATGAAGCCGCAAAAACGAAACGTTGGTTAAAATTAAATGTATATATATATATCTGGAGTATAAAGATCGTTTTTTCTAAGCTAACATATGCGATTTTGTTGTGAGTGGCTTTCTTTATACTCAACGCTTGTTAAACGCGTGTTTACACGAAACCTCAGGTACAAAACCACCTAGCTCAGTAAATAATGGTTGAGTAAAAAAATCCAATGCAGCAGTAAATTGTTAAAAAATATGTATCATTGGACTGAATGCATTTGCACATATCGAGCTTAAAATTTATTCTCCATAAATGGACAAGAAATATGATAATTCATATTGCTCATTTAAAAAGAGGAATAGGAATCGTCAAAAATGTACAGAAACAAGTTGAATCAAAACGCAAAGATTATATTGTCAAGCCTACAACTAGGGCCTCCACTAAAATTGATAAGTACTATAGACATGGAGTCAAAATAGGGATTTCTAACTTGAGAAAACAATATAGACACTATTTCCAGCACAGTTTGTTCACTTTTATAGAGTCCCTAGTTGAAGGCTTGAAAATATAATCCTTGCATTTTGATTCAACTTGTTTCTGTACTTTTTTGACGATCCCTATTACCCCTTTTAAATTACCAATTTTTAATTATTTTGTTTACTATGGAACAGTACTGAATCTCTGAGTACGTGGGCACAATGTAGAAATACATGTAAACAATCTCTATTAATTCAGAAATACAAGCACAGTATTGTAGACTTTCTTTGAAGACGTGAGACAGTCACTTCTACTGAATCAGTCAACTTCGTTTCAAATCTGATTATACAAAGATCATCTACCAGACTGTTCAAATTCACTGTTTCTTATATCATAATCTGCGAGTTGCGGGTGTTGGTGTTAACTAGCTGTCTTCCACAGAGCATGCCGTAACCTCGATATACCACCTGATTTATCACCGAAGAACAATGTTGTATACATTCTTGCGGAACATGCAACATTAAAGCAATTTCAACCAGGGGCAGAAAAGATATGAACTCAATAGAATGACAAGGTAACAAAGAAACTAGAATGACATCAACTTAATGACTTTTTTGACCATGTATTATGTGAAAACGACAAATACTCAGAAATAATTGATAAACTTATTATAATACTATAATCAAATGAGAAGGTAGAAATACATATCTATATACACCACAGATGTACACAACCTAGAACTGCATTAATTTTATCATTAGGAACTGCCTCTCATAGTTTTCGATTTTTTTCCACGCCTTTTTTTTTCTTTATTATTTGTTCAGTTTGGTGGATCATTCGCTGAGGGCCTCAAAGTATTTTTTGGAATGTTATTTGCATTTGAAAATAGAGAAGTAAAAATTTTTACAGCAAGCCGATTTTTCTTATAAAGAGCAATTGTCTACTATGGTATATCCAGGTGAAATTGAATTATCTTTGGAGCTGTACTGAATACGCCTGTTAAATAACAGGAGATTCACTAAAGATATTGATTATGGAGTAGACCTAAATCCCTTACTAACTAGGTCAGCTAAAATGAAATAACAAAGCAGTAGAGAAAAGTGTAAAACCAAATGCACAGTTTTATTATCACAATGAAACAGAATCACATTATGTGTACTTACTGTTTATTTTCATAAGATGGTTACTTTTAGTAGCTTTTCTGTTCCAATCGTTTAAGCTGAAAGCATGTACCAGACTGTATATGCGCAATATTTATTAGTCCGCAAGAAACCTCACATTTACCCAGAGTGGCATATACTACCCACTTGGCTGGTCAATCTCAATACAACACAGGTCGAGCTATAACCTTTGGCTATTATTTGAACAACTGTTGAAGGACACTGCTGTTGACGTTCTTACACAACGTTTCATATTAAGTAATGTTCTTCTCGAGTGGTAACATGTATTATCCACTTTTAAGAATAACAAAGGAACAAAAGTAGCTTTAGAACGATACCAATCTAATGGCTTTCCCAACCATTTGTTATTTGAAACTTCCACATATTCAAACAAACAATGAATTCAGAACAAATATTGTTGCGTCAGCGAGGTCACGTGACTAGTATCACGCCACGTCCTTCTCGAACCTTCGTGAATTGTCGGGAGACTACTAGATTAGGGGTAAGCTTGCATATATAAGATGGTCACCAA